TAAACTCTTCTATGGTGAAGTTGACAAGGCAAACACCCCACCAAGGGTCAATAGAGAAATCCACAGGTTGAGTAGGTAAGAAGTCTTTTGCAATTGATTTATTCAGCTTCCACATTATTTTCTGGAAAGTTCGAAACATGTATGAGAAGTATAAGACATAATAGATGTTGAATTACATCCACTTATAGGCTCAAGTTATAATGATACACTATGATGCTCTAAACTTTTTAAAATTACAGAGCCAGAAAATATAAACAAGAAATACTCCATCTAAAAATTTTGCAAACATTGAATTCCCATATTTTTACCCAAAATAAAGATTCTTCAAGTCAAAAGTCAAAGGAAAAGATAATTTGCAGAGAGTAACTTGCACGACATGCCTGGCACATAAATCAGTATAGAGTCTAGACGAAAAAGTACCTTAGATCTGCATTTATTCATGATATCAATGAACTCATTCCTCCCTATTCCTGTAAGCCGGAAAGCATCTGCCGCACTGAAGTTTGGAATACTGTCATAAGGTTGCTCTGTGTCAAATTAAAAGGAATGAGAATGACAAAATCACTGGCTCAAACTTTAGGTAAGTAAAAAGAGAGCTCTAGAGTAAAGCAACAATTTACCATTTCTCATGACTTCAAATATCATATCACAGTAGTATCTGAAAGGTGATATCCTCATCACACGGCAAACATACTCTGCAAGGTGGTATGGAAAGAGCTGCAGGTAATTGTTAAAAGCAATTAAGATTAATTTCTCGGACAGTAATAGAAAAGAATGCTCTATATATTTCGTCCTAGATCACAAAGTTTCTCTCCTTGTATACACTATGTGAACCGACGACTATCATTCAGAGTAAGAAACATAGTAATAAATGACCATCACAGACTATGCTATCTAGAATCTAAAATAACCCTTGTTAGCCACTATTATAGATTCCAAACCCTTTTCTAATACATTGTCGCTCTAATACCAAAAATTGTGCTGCGAGAAAGCCATTAAATACGAGATAAAAGGATGAATGAAGAAAAGAAAAAAAAATAGGGAAACTACAGAAAAATGATTCGCCAGTAACTCTCCACTAGAATGCAATTAAAATAAAAAGACCTCTTAGAGAGTAATCCATCAACACGCACCGCCAGATTCTTTCGCAAGTAACGCATCATATCTTCATAATATTCACCTTCTTTGCAAACTTTACAAGCAAAACATGTATTCCATAGGAGTCTTTTCTTTATACAATGCGCCGTAACCCTACATCAAGAATCAAAACAGTGAAAAAAGGATACTGCTATGTAAAGGTAAACTACAAATAAGCTCTAGATCAGCTCAATTCCAATTAGGCAATTCAACATGAGAACAAATGCTCATTGTAGAAGAACGTAAAACAAACTGAAAACTTATGTAACCGTGCCCCGAGCCACTGTACGCAGAATGCATAAAGAAAAACTAACCTTCTATGCCATTCATCCTTCGACCCAAGAATAGATTGGAGTCGTTTCGGGAGGTTTTCCCATGGACATTCTTCCCTTACAGCTTTCGATATCAACTGGTCCTCTATTGTTACTGGAGTGTGCTGCATCTTCCCCAAATTCTGGTATCTTCCAATGACATCAACAAAATTCAAGATAAATAGTTGGAATGAGGTATTTAAGCTTTAATCTAGCCATTAGAAGAAGCAATTCAGAATCATCATCACACCAAGTTCTTCTTCCACCGACAAATTCGACAAACCTAGATCAATTTCTAATCCTAATCGGCTACACAATGCAAAAATCAAGCACAGAAATGGAGTCTAATGTCAACTACTAGATGAAATTTTGAAGAACATCGGCGAGTGAATATGCAGCGATCGTACACTTCTGATCCGTAATACATAACGCAATTCGAAGATGAGACCATGGAATTGGCTATCGGAGATCAGAGGTAGTACCTGAGCACACACCGGAGATGGCAGAGAAAATTAGAGTTTCCTTGACCGGAATCTCATGAGATCTGAAGCGACTGCAAAAAAAATTGGCAATGACTGATCTTGGCTCATGGGCCGAAGCTGGTACAATGTGGGCCTGAAAGTTTATATGTGGGCCCCATAAGCATACAGTACAACAAAAATCATAGCAATAGAAAGAAAAAGGAAACAATTCGGGATATATTTTCCTTGGACATTATTGTAATTAAAAATTCGATGGACAAATTTTTCTTTTTTTTTTATCAACAGCTTTTAATTAAAATTCAAAAGAGTCATGAGATGGACAAAATTATCTATCAGATTTTCAATATTTATTCAACACTTTTTTTTAGTAAAAAGAAAGAGAAATTCCTAAAAATAGCCCTAAAACAAGTTTTATTGACAATAATAGCACACACTCCATAAACTTCCAAAAATAGCACTAGTTAGCTTACTATTAGTGTTTTTGTTCTAAAAATTTTATCACTAGTTTTTTTTTCAATAATACCACAATTTTTATATAAAAGCTATTCAACAAAATAAATTAGAAATAAATTTAAAATATTATATTTGGGTTCTCTATTTCCAATTTAGGGTATATATTTCCACCATTTAAAAGAGATTTATTTCTTTTAATATTAGTTTGTGGTATTATATTTGGGTTCCCTATTTCCAAATTAGGGTATATATTTCCACTATTTAAAAACAATTTTGATTCAATTTAATATTAGATTAGTGTTTGCTCTCTTTTTTATTTTCTATCTTATATTTTCATTAAGTTTAATTGAAGTTTATGGTGCTATTTGTAGAACTTTTCAAATGACGTGCTATTTTTGGAAAAAATAACTTTTTTGGGGCTATTTGTGTCAATCTCCCAAAAAGAAAACCAAAGGATTTTTGAATATATCCCAAATATTAAGCCAAGAAAAAAAAAAGCTTTTCTTTGCTAGAGCTAATTGACTATTTTAGATGGACACTCGTTTAATCGGTTCTGTTCGGTACGGGTTATACAGTTTTTCTATTTATTTTTGTTGTGGAAAAAAATTATAATATAAATTAACCTGACTAACAAATTTTAATTACTATTATAGGTTTCAATTATATTTATTTGTGTTTTCATATATTTGATTAAATATATTAATTTTAGTGAATTTTGGTTAAACAAATCGGTTTCATATAATTCAGATTTGGTTAGGTTCGGTTCAGAAAATCCAGTATAAAAACTTATGTATTGTTTGAATTAATCTAATAAAATTTGATTTGGATTAGGTTTGGTGAATTTTAGTTTGGTTTAGTAAAATACCGTTCATTTGGTAATTTAGTAGGGCCCTAGTTTTTAGCTAAAGTGAATATTTGCTTAGACTTTAAAGTTGTTTATTTTACTTTGTTTTTGGCAAAGAAGAATTTAACGTCGTTTATGTTTATGTTACCTAGAAATGTAAGGTTTAATCTTATTGATTTATGAAAAGATTACAACTCGTATAAATATACAATGTCATTGCCTTACCCTAGAAATATACAGTAAATGCAAAATATACAAAACAATAGTATATACTAGAGAAATATTCTCTTTATAATAAAGAGCATTTCTTATTTTACTATGGCAATTGCATGCATGTATCCACCTTACAATATTTGCTTTACTTTCATTTTCACTTGTTTTCTCCAACTTTGACATTTTTTGTCACAAATCTTTTTTCTAGTGGTCCATTTCTTTCGTGGCCTGTTTTATATACACATATACTGATGTACACACCTTGTTGTAAGATATTCTTTTTACATGCATGTGTAGACCCATGGACATCTGTTACGTATAAGCATTAAATGTTTTAAGCAATTTCGACAAATATTAGTTGACATTGTACGTTTTAGCTATATGTTAATTAGGGTTTGTTTGAATCTAAATCGTTGTCAAAACCAAGATTACTATGTGGTCCAGTAATTGGTTTAAATGGGTAGAGAATTTGCCATGTGGAACAAGATGAGAGAGTTTTGGCATATATATAATTTACTCTGGTTATTGAAAGAAATCGTTATCGAGATGGGAGACTTTTTGTTTGATGCGTAGAAGTTGTAGACACTAGACGTGTGATCATTGCAAATCTTGTTTCCTAGATTTTGACATCAAGTATAAAAGAGTTTTAACTTAGAAAATGAATTTTGTTTTCTTTTTCTCATTTTAAGGATGATTTTCGTTGTCTTAACGGATACTACCATTAGCATCGCAAATCAAGAGGTTTGGATACAGAATTCAAGTGGTAAAAGATTTGTCTTGTGGATTAAAACTAATTAAGGTATGATTCTCCGTTTACAAACATGTCGATAAATCAATCCATCGCTAACCGATTTAAATGCTAAAAATATCTGATTCTCTCTAGAGTTTAAAACTAATCTGGATTATATTTATATTAAAGAACAACTACAAACATTTGTAGTACTTCGTAGTGGTGGTGGTACTCTCAAACTTCAATTGTGGGCTACACTTTGACGGACTCTTGTTTTATGCTATGAGAGGGACATGTGTCGGTTATTGTAGCTGTAAAGAAACCATGGTCGGTGTGATTAGAGAATCTTCCACTTTGCGGTTTTCAACACCTTCTTCAATTTAGACCGGGTCCATAGACTTTGTAGGTTTTTCGTTTCCACGGGACTTGTATATTAAAATATACTAAAAAGCTTATAAAACACCACTTTTGATATTACAAAAAGGAATAAAAAGAGAGTTTTACTCATTCTAATCTCCTTTTAAAAAAACTCTTGTGATCTACCACTTCTTTAAAAAAATCTTGTGATTGAAATTTTAGAATTTTGTATAATTTTTATTTATTTTGATTTTGATAAATCATTTTATGTATAATAATTTTTGAATTTTGTGTGTTTTGAAAACTTACATAATGTGCTAAATCGTGGTTTATGTTTAATCATTTTGCTCCTTCTCAAGTTTATTGATAAGTACAAAATAAATCAGCGTATATTTAAAGTTAATTGTTTTTTTCATAATTCATTCATTACACGATATTTTTCATATACCATATACAACTAAAAAAATATCATTCTATTAATCTGCAAAAAAAATTGAAGAAAACATTATAGGCATATAAAAAAACAGTAGATACAAGATAAGATATGAACTAAAGTGTTAAGAGGTTTGTTGTGTAGTGGATTTCAAAGTTAGCGAAAAGGTTTCACTATAAGAAAGAGAACGCCTATATATACATAAGTTGTTGTGTTGTGGTTAACAACGTTCTTTATTTCAAGTTTCTCACATCAATCATTTTAGAAAAACCTAATCTCTTATGTTTACCATTTTCTTTCATCTCTTCTAATTCTCTATTTTAAAGCACAGAAAAATCTAAACAGCAATATGGAAGAAGACACATTCTCATTGGGTGGGAAGAAGAGAAGATTGAGTGTAGATCAAGTCAATACACTTGAGATGAACTTCAAAGAAGAGAACAAGCTCGAGCAGGAGAGGAAAGTGAGGATCGCGGACGAGACAGGGCTGCATCCAAAACAAGTGGCCGTGTGGTTCCAAAACCGACGTGCCCGTTGGAAGACTAAGCAACTTGAACGAGACTATTGCGTCCTTAAAGCTCATTATGACTCTCTCAAGCTTGAGTACAATAATCTTGAGCATGAGACACAAGTTCTTACCTCAAAGGTATAGTTATACTCACTAAGCACAAACAACACGAGCTGTGAATTTATATCGTTTCCACATATGGGTCTGTGTCTAATAAATAAGATATTGAATCACTTACTAAATTTCTATGTTTTATGTTTTGTTTCATAGCTTAAAGAGCTAAGAGCCAAAGTGAGAGAAGAAAAGAGAGAAGAGGAACATACCATGTCTCTTAAAGAACAGAAACGAGAAACCGAAGAGGAAAATGATAAGATCTTTCAGATGGTACCTACGTCTCACAACGGCTTATGTTCTTCGACAACTTTAGGATCGATGGCTGAACCTTGCCAGTTCAGAAATTATCCGGAAAAAGAAATAATTATGGTGAAACTAAAAGAACTCCGCAATTTAAATTATGTTGATTATGCTTCTAATCTCCAATGGTAAAATTAATTACATGATCTAGTCTATATGTAAATTAAGCTCTAATTGAACAATTTGTGATAGGGTTTGGTAGATGTAGACTATTTACTGCTTTGCTCAAGTTCATTATTAGGTATGAACGATGACAATATGGTAATAACGAATTCTTGGATTGTACATGAAATAAACTGATAACATCGTATTTTTACTCGTTTTTACTATTATTTCTAGGTGTTTTTAGTAAGCATTATATGTGATTTTGGTGATTATAAAAGATTTTCCCAAGTATTCATAGTGTTAAGAGTCTTTACAGATTTTTAGACAAAAAAAAAACAAAAAGTGGAGCAAAACACAATTCAGGACAGTTTCAGAGGTTCATATTACGGGATACTTGTGAAGACCTTCCCGGTCACCAAATGAAAGTTCTTGGTGTCTTTAGATCGGTAGAAGAGTCTTCTTTCACCTCTAAGTGGATTTATAGCAAACTAGCAAGCCGTTCAGAAGATATTCCCAAAACAGTGGATACATGTCCTGTAGCAGCGAAAAGAAGTGTGTTCGGGGTGAAGCCTCTTAGCTAGACTGGTAACTGTTATCTCAGAAATATAGATGCATATCACAATACGTACACACAAATACGTACATTTTATTGAATAAGTAACAAGTAGAGAACTGAAACCTGAAATACGTATACAAGTATGTACACCGTCGATCCCTTCTCTGCTTCAACGTAAGAACAACGTATAGATTGATAGAGGCTTGCATTAAGAAATCTCCTAAGACAGAATTTCGCCCCTACGGTGGTGTTAGTAGCTTTTTGTGGGCGTCTATCTTGCAGGATACAACTATCCATCTCTGTATTCACACCTCTATAGAGACCCTAGCAAACCTACTTTGAGATTCTCAGAAATTGAATTCAGGAGAAGAAGAAGATTAGAATCAATCTCAATCTCTGTTTCTCCTTAGTCTCTCTGGTATTGTTCTTCTCTCTCTTGTGTATCGTCCCCTCTCTACATCATGATGTCTCTTTAATTATTAATCCAAGCGGTACTTGATCAAAGAGATGCTTCTCTTACATCAATCGTTGCTTTTCTAATCGTCACATACGTAACAAGAGACGTGATGTTATTTTCACAAGTAGAGGGGTATTAACATAAATACAAATGTTTATGTAAATAAACATGTAAATATTAAACATGTAAATAACCACCAACAATACCCCACATTTTCTATTCAAACTCAACAATACCCAACATTTGAATAGAAAATAAGCTTCACAATATCTGAGAAAATAGAATCAATATGCATCGGTAAAGGTGTCTTTTGGACTTGAACCTTTCCTAGTAAACACTTATCGGATTTACTTTGTGGGTAGTGAACTCTTGTCTTGAACTAACCACATTTGATAGTAAACCGAGACAATAAGTGAAACACATATATCATCAGAACATATCCCGACTTCATGAGAGCTCTAGAGAATTTAGCCATATCAATTCTCGTAGGTGCGACCGCGACACCACTCTCATATAGGTAACATTAATTAAGAATAGTCCATTCTATCCCACTTGTAAGCACAAGATATTAATGTTATAAGAATAAAAATGTATCCCTTTAATCGTCAATGGAAACACATTTAACTTCATAGGAACTAGTAATGTGTATTTCTCTCTTGAGCCTTCCTCAGCTAGTTTGCCTTTTGAACCTAAGCCATGGGATCTCCAATGTTGCTAGATAAGGTTTCCACCAAGTGATGACTCATTGTGTTGGCTTCAAACCAATTCCCCTCAAAGTGAATACGACTTGCTCTTTCGGTAGGCCTTTAGTCAAAAGATCAGCCAAGTTTCCCTTTGATCTAATATAATCCAATGCAATCACCCCATTGGAAAGCAAGTATCGTATTGTGGCATGTCTCCTTCGAATATGCCTTGACTTGCCATTGAAATTTTTATTTCTCCTTATATTTAAGGCAACCATATTGTCACAATGGATACATAGTGCAGTTACTGGCTTTGGCCATAGTGGAATATCTTCAAGAAACTTCCTTAGCCATTCGGCTTCTTCTGCAGCACTATCTAGCGCGATAAATTCCGATTCTATTGTAGAACGTGCTATACACGTTTGTTTAGATGATTTCCAAGACACATCACCACCACCAAGTGTAAACACATAACCACTTGTGGATTTACTTTACTATCCGTACTTTCAGAGATCCAATTGGCATCACTATATCCTTCTAACACCGGAGGAAATTTAGTGTAATATAGACCATAATCAATTGTATGCTTTAAGTATCTCAATACTCTAACCAAAGCATTCCAATGTTCTCTATTTGGATTACTTGAATATCGACTTAATCGATTCAATGAGTAAGCCAAGTCTGGTCTTGTACAATTTGTAATGTACATGATACTCCCAAGAATTTGTGTGTATTCCAATTGAGACACACTTTCTCCTTCATTCTTTGAAAGCTTACACGTCGAATCAAACGGAGTAACTACCTGTCTATCATCAAAGTGACCAAACTTGTTTAGAACTTTCTCCACATAATGAGATTGAGTAAGTGAATACCCATTTGGCTCTCGTCTAACTCTAATTCCAAGAATTACATCAGCCAATCCCATGTCTTTCATTTCGAAATTGTCACTCAACATCTTCTTTGTGGTATTGAGAATGTCTTTACTTGTTCCCATTATCAACATATCATCCACATATAGACATATAATAATCATATCCTTCTTAGTTTCCTTAATGTAGACACACTTGTCACATTCATTTATTTTAAAACCATACGACCTCATTGTATTATCAAACTTCTCATGCCATTGTTTTGGCGCTTGCTTAAGTCCATACAAAGACTTTTTAAGCTTACAAACTTTCTTCTCTTTCCCTTCGACTATAAAGCCTTCGGGTTGTTCCATATATATTTCTTCATCTAGTTCACCATTTAGGAATGCTGTTTTAACATCCATTTGATGAATTTCTAGATTATATATGAGCAAAATTGCAATTAAGAATCTAATCGAAGTGATTCTAGTCACCTGAGAATAAGTATCAAAGAAATCAAGACCTTATTTTTGACGAAATCCTTTAGCCACTAGTCTTGCTTTATATTTCTCAATTGTACCATCCGGTCTCAACTTCTTTGTGAATATCCATTTATGTCCAATTAGTTGATTTACAATTAGTTTATTACCAGGTGGTAAATCAACCAATTCCCATGAATGATTACTCAAAATGGATTCAACTTCACTTTGAATAGCCTCTTTCTAATAAGATGCTTCCAATGATTCCATTGAAGCCTTATATGTTTGAGGTTAGTATTCACTCAAATACGTCATAAAGTCCGTGCCAAAATCTTTAGCAACTCTTGCTCTTTTACTTCTTCTTGGTTCATATTCTTCTTCATGAATACGTACACGATCATTGTCCTCACGTACCCGTTTGGTACATGGTTTTCTAGGCTCTTTGTATGGAAATACATCTTCAAAAAACTCAGCCTCATTTGATTCAATGATCGTGTTTACCTTTACCTTAGCATTATCAGATTTATGAACTAAAAATCTATAAGCTGCATTATTCTCTGCAGGACCGATGTAAACGCAATCCATCATTTTTGGTCCTATAATAGTTCTTTTTGGTAAAGGTACTTGAACCTTAGCAAGACAACTCCACACTTTCATATATTTATATGAAGGAGTCTTATCTTTCCACATCTCATATGGAGTTCTATCACACTTCTTATGAAGAATCTTATTCAAGATTGAATTAGCCGTGGGAATAACTTCACCCCATAGGTTAAGTGGTGCCCCCGAATCGTTTAACATGGAAAATTCATCATCTCTTTAAGCATTCTATTTTTCCTTTCGGCAACTCCATTTTGCATCAGAGTATAAGGTGCTGTAGTTTGATGAATGATTCCATGTGTAGAACAAAAATCAGAAAATTCATTGATTTGTATTCTCCACCACGATCTGATCGGAGAATCTTTATTCTCTTATCTAATTGATTTTCATCTTCAGCTTTGAATTTCTTAAACATATTCAAAGCCTCATCTTTAGTATTAATCAAATAGATTTGGCAAAACTTACTGTAATCATTAATGAAAGAAATATAATAATTCTTTCCTCCGCGACTTGGAGTTGATTGAAAATCACACAAGTCACTATATATTAAAACAAGTAATGCGTTTGACTTTTCCACAGATTTGTGAGAGTGCAGTGAATATTTTGATTCTATACAAACTTCACATTTGCTTCTTTTATGACTCTTAAGATTAACAATCCTAAATTCATCATTCTGTACAAAAAATGATAATTGACATGTCTCATTCTTGCATGCCATAAGTCGTTCATGAGTGAATCTTAAGAGGTTCCACACGTGCTATTTAAATTTCAAGAGGTTTAAAGATGGTTGCACACGTGCTAGAAAAGTGACAAGTCCATGTAGTTTCGGGCATACATTTTTTGAATCAAAAAATCTTAGCCATGATTCTGCTACACAAACATCTTCAAGTTTATCTTGAGGATCTACGTCTCGACGACCGATTTAAATGAAAATCTTAAATTAAAAAAAAATAGACAATTTTTAGAACAATGTCCAAAAACAATATTATTTAGAGATTTAAAATAAGAAAATTACGCTTTGAAAAAACTCAGAAAAAGTAAATTTTATATTAGGACTTGAATTCGATACAAAGTCCGAATATTTGTGCATATACAATATATTCAAGCTGAACAAATAACGATTTAAATAACAAATAAAAATGTTGATTTTCTAATTATTAAATAGAAACACCTACGTTTGTTTAGATATTAAAAAAAAAAACTTATAAAAGTTTAAGGATCATTTTGTAAAAAAAAAACAGAAAATTACTTCTTCTTAATAGTTTTCTTTTAAATATAATAAAATATTATTCATATCATTTTTCTCCCCAAATGATGTATCAATTAAAAATTATTTCCCTCATTTTTTAATATTTTCCTTTCAAAATGAAAAACCATTCCTCAGCATTGTCTCCTGTGTACTGTATTAATAATTTAATACACCTCTTTAGATCGATACAACATGTCATCGTGATTAAAGCTTTAACCAAAAAAAAACATATATTTTGGCTTTTTATGTATGTTTGTGAATGTAATAACGTCAGAATAAAATAATAGAAATTCTATATACGTACAAACCAAAAGAACTAAAAGTTATATATATATATATATATATATATATATTTATTGATATGTAAATATTTTATGTATTGAGTGTGTAATTACACAATATTTGGGACTTTCTGCGCCTACCAGACTTGGAATTTTCTAGTCATTTCAACTGACCTGTTGCACTCAATCACAGCCGTTACTTAATCTCTTCCACACATCCTAACCGTTGATTCTCCTTTTGCCCGACCTACACGACCTGTCAACTAAAAAATCTTACAAAAGGCCCATCTTCAAACTTTCCCGGAAAATCCCTAGAAACCTCCAATGAACCATCCACGACCAAATCATTCTCTCTATTAAAAATTATATAAGCATTTTTGATGTCTCTTCTTACCACTCAAATAGATGAAGAGATGGCGAGCTTAAGCACGAGCTTGCTCGGAATAAGACGAGGGTCAAGTAACAAGAATAAGGCAGAAGATAAGACCAAAAACGCAGTGTTTTGCAAGAAGCATCCAAAGCATAGACAATCACCTGGTGTTTGTTCTCTTTGTCTTAACGAGAGGCTCTCTCTTTTTATCAAAGCAGCTTCTTCACGTAGACCAAGATCTCGTCAAATCTTGTGTTCTTCTTCCTCAACTACTTCCTCTCTTTCTTCTTACGGTTCTTCTTCTGTGTCTTCTTGTCCTTCTCCTCTTGTTGAACGCCGAAGATACTTGGTAGTGTCCGGAGGCAGCGGTAGAGGAGAGAAAGTGATTTCGTGGATGACGAAAAGCCGATCTGTAGCTTATAAAGTGGATGATGAGAAAAGAAAGAAGAAGAAGAAGAAGACAAAGACGAAAAGTGGTTTCTTTTTTGGTTTTGTAATGGGCTCAAGAAGGGACGATAAGAGAGTGTTGTAGATTCGTTAGATTAGATTGTTCTTGATTGTGTATTTTATGATGCGTTCTTGATTCTTTCATTTTGGATTGATTGCTACATATAGATGACTAGATCAGTTTGGAATTTTGGGTACGTGAAAGTGAGAGAGATTCTCTTTTAACAACGATATATGAGAAAGAGAAAGCAAAAAAAAAAAATTTAACGAGGCGGTTGCAAAGTTATTTTTATACGAATTATTGTGATTTGTGATTGATTCCATGAGCTTGCAGTTTAGTGGTAACATAAAATGTGCTTATCAAGAGATTGAGAACATGTTTTTCGTTGTTGATTTTATTGACCAAAAAAATAAAATGTTTTCGTTGATGATTTCAGTTGACCCCCACAAAAAAAAGTTGTCGTTGTTGTTATTAATGTTTGCACACTTAACTTAGGCTTTTCTTTGATAAAATTCGTGAGAACATAAAAATCATATAACTAAACTTTGTATTAAGAAACTCTTCTCCAATTTGATTTAAAAAATCTTTTTCTAATTAATACTATTTTTCTCATCCCGATCTACAAAGAATGCATAACGCAAACCCTACAATCATATTTTTTTAGATAACCATGGTCGGGCCAAGATAGCAATGTTTTCAGTTCTTATAGATTCACTTATATTTTTTACTTTTAAGTAATGGTTATATCTTTAAAACCACCAAAACTAGATGTTATATAAGTACAAATATACACATTTTTAAGTAAAGTTATTTGAAAATTTATATAACAAATATGTAAGGGGCACTTGTTGGGGTCGGATTCCATCCTTTAGCGCCGAGCCAGACTTAGAACACTTCGGGAGTCTTTCAGCGATCACCTCGGGGCATCGCATCATTCACCTCGGGATATCCATCTAATCGATTTAGTATACCCGAGCCCATCGCCTCGAGGATACTTTAACAAGACGTTTCAAGCACCCGAGCCCATCGCCTCGGGCATACCTTTAACAAGTAGTTTCAAGCACCCGAGCCCTTCGCCTCGGGGATACTTGAACAAGACGTCTCAAGCACCCGAGCCCAATTGCCTCGGGGATACTTGAACAAGACGTCTCAAGCACCCGAGCCCAATTGCCTCGGGAGTTTCTGAGCCCATCGCCTCGGGGACACCCGAACAAGCCATCCTAGAGTGCCCGAGCCAGTCCTTCCTGTGTACCCGAGCCGATTGCACAAGTTTCTCCGAGGTGAAGTCTTCATCATCGCCCGAGGTAAAGACTTGGTAAATATTCGCTTTCAAAGTACCATTTCCAAGCAAGGTATCATTTCCGAACAAGAAGGATCATTTCCGATATACCCGGAAATGATAAGAGAGAATCTAGAAGGATCGACTCAAAATCAGGAAATCTCCCAAAGACTCCGAAAAATAAGGAAACTATCCTAATCCGCGATATTCTGAGCCGACTTCAAGATAAATGGAAATCTTCCGAGAATATCGCTGGAGAGGCGGTTTATCACCCCTATATAAAGAGACTCAAGGCTCAAGCAAAGGCAAGCAATATCGCTCTAGAATTTACACTACGCAAAGCTCTCACAGCACAAACATCTTTTTCCTTTTACGATCAAACTCTTGTACGATCAAAGTCATCTTTTTCTTAATAATATCAAGAACACCATCTTTGGTTACAATCGTTTCTGTTGTTCTTTGAGAATTCACGATTATCGTATCCCTAAAATAAAACCCTAGACAAATCTTGATTGTGTTAGTTTCGACTTCCACAGTTTGGCGCCGTCTGTGGGGATTACTTTAGAATTCTCTTACCTTAAGAACGCAAGACTCGAATACCAGAGAGGATGGTGAACGAAGATGATCGTCAGGCACCACCAGCCGGAGGAGGGAACCCTAACCCTCCGAACCCTCCTTCTAGCACCACTCAAGCCGATCCGACGATCATAGCAACTCTAGCCGAACTAAAAGATCTAATGGTTAAATTCCAGAAGAAAGCTGACGACCAAGAGAAAGCCAACAAAACCTTGGCGCAGCGAGTCGACGAAATCGCAACACGCGGGCAACAAAAAACCACACGTTTCCAGACTCGGCCGCCACGAGCTCGGAGGGACTTGCCTGGCATCAACCCAACGAGACTCACGTTCGCGACACCAACCGGCAACACCAGAGTCGCAACCCGAGCCGACCCTGCCAGACACGAAAACCGAGATGATCCCACCGAGCCGGACGCAGTGGACTTGACGGACGAGCCAGATGATCTGCAAGATGAGCGTACCCGAGCCGGAGCTAACTCCGCCGAGCGAACAGATCTCACTAACGATGAAGAAACTGAGGAAAACATAAGATGGGCCGAAGAATCCGAAAGAGAAGACGAGCTAAGCAAAATCCGAGCCTCCCTAGCCAAGGCGGAAGCTGATATGAAGCTCGTCAAAACCCAGATACATAGCGTTTCATCCTCCGCACCGAACATCGACCGAATTTTGGAAGAATCTCGGAATACGCCTTTCACCAAAAGAATTTCCGAAACGACGATGTCCAATCTGGGAAAATTCAAAATCAACTCTTACAACGGATCAACCGATCCAAAGTGCCACATTAAATCGTTCGTGATATCTGTGGCCCGAGCCAGGTTCAAACCCGGGGAAAAGGATGCAGGTCTGTGCCTACTGTTCGTGGAACACCTCAAAGGACCCGCATTAGAATGGTTTTCAAGAAACTCGATTGATAGTTTCGACGAGCTGTCGACATTGTTCCTCAAACAATACTCCGTGCTCATCGACCCCGGAACTTCCGACGCGGATCTGTGGTCTTTGTCTCAACAGCCCACCGAGCCATTAAGGGATTTCCTCAAGACCTTCAAATCGACGCTAGCCAAGGTCGAAGGAATTACAGATGTAGCAGCTCTCTCGGCTTTGAAGAAAGCTCTCTGGTACAAGTCAGAATTCAGGAAAGAGTTGAACCTGTCTAAACCAACAACAATTCGCGACGCGCTGCATCGAGCCTCGGATTTCGTCGCCCACGAAGAAGAAATGGCGCTACTAGCAAAGAGGCACGAGCCAACAAAACCGGCGCCCCGAACCGAGAAAACCGAGAAAGCCCAAGCGACACCTCCGGTCCAGAAGAAAACGCGTGAGAGCGGTACGTATACGCATCACAAAGGGCGCAATTTCTCAGGATACCATAGCTACCAGATTGACACGCCCCGAGGCCGTGGCCGCGGCAGAGGCCGAGGCCGTGGGCGAGGAAGAGAGTCCTTCACCTGGACAAGGGATCAGCCACCGAGCAATGATCAAGAATATTGCGAACACCACAAAATTTTCGGCCATCATACCTCGAGATGCCAAAGCCTCGGAGCCAAGTTAGCAACCAAATTCCTAGCTGGAGAGCTCGGGACAAACGTTACTCTTAAGGACCTCGAGCCAGAACCGGAGCCCGAGCAGACCAACCCAGGAAGAGACCCCGAACCAAGGAACCAGGAGTCTCAGAAAAGAACCCGGGGGTCGGAAGACAAAGACCGAGATGGTACGCGGCAGAAGGTTCTTACCATAATGGGTGGATCGCCATACTCTCCTGACACCGTAGCGGCAATCAAAGCTTATCAACGCCGAGCCGAGACGCCTAGCAACTGGACAAGACGCTTCGATCGACCTAACGACGTGATCACATTCGAAGAGAGCGAGACAAACGGGCTCGACATGCCTCATAACGATCCAATCGTCGTCACATTAGCGATAGGAGACCATGATATTTACCGAGTATTAATTGACACCGGCAGCACCATTGACGTAATCTTTCGCGAAACGCTCCAACGAATGAACATCGACATGTCACAGGTGATTCCGACCCCGAGGCCTGTCCTCGGATTCTCAGGGGAAACTTTGATGACGCTTGGAACCATCCAACTACCAGTCCGAGCCGGCGGGGTAACAAAGATAGTCAACTTCTCAGTCACCTACCATCTACAATGTCATAATGGGAACTCCGTGGTTAAACCTAATGCGAGCTGTCGCATCAACATATCATCTGTGTGTCAAATTCCCGACCCCCAATGGCGTGAAAACGATCTGGGGCAGTCAGAAAAATTCTCGGATGTGTTTCATGGCAGCACACAAACTCCGAAACCCTGTCACTGAAGCGAAGGCTGAAACGGATCACAAGAAATCAAAACTTGGCCGGAGTGAAGAGAAGGCTATATCTAAACAGTTATAGCAATTACAGATCGAGGAGGTGCGCGAGGAGAAGAACCCTACCTCGGATCCTGTAATCTCCATTAGCCTCGACGACGAACGGCCTGAACGATGCGTGGAAATTGGCAGCGACTTAACCGAAGAACTCAAGACAGAGCTCATCTCATTCCTCAAAGAGAACATCGACACCTTTGCCTGGTCGGCTGAAGATCTACCTGGGGTAAGCATCGACGTAATCTGCCACGAGCTGAATGTTGACCCATCTTTCAAGCCCATCAAGCAGAAGCGAAGAAAATTGGGTCGGGATCGCGCAGATGCAGTGAACGCCGAAGTAGAAAAGCTCCTGAAGATCGGCTCGATCTCTGAAGCAAGATATCCGGACTGGTTAGCAAATCCTGTCGTGGTTAAAAAGAAGAACGGCAAGTGGAGAGTCTGCGTCGATTTCACCGATCTGAACAAAGCTTGCCCTAAAGACAGTTTTCCGCTCCCACATATCGATCGTTTAGTGGAAGCAACCGCGGGAAATAAGTTGCTATCATTCATGGATGCTTTCGCAGGATACAATCAGATTCTCATGCACCCCGACGATCGCGAGAAGACAGCATTCATCACAGACCGAGGTATCTACTGTTACAAAGTCATGCCCTTCGGACTCAAGAACGCTGGCGCAACGTATCAACGGCTCGTCAACAGGATGTTCTCCGAACAGCTCGGGAAGACGATGGAAGTTTATATCGACGACATGTTAGTCAAATCCCTTGAAGAAAGCGATCACATAGCCCATCTACGCGACTGTTTTCGCCAGCTCAACAAGCACAACATGAAGCTCAATCCGGCAAAATGTCGTTTCGCGGTAAAATCGGGAGAATTCTTGGGATATCTCGTAACTCACCGAGGCATCGAAGCAAACCCGAAGCAAATCGATGCTCTACTGAACATGCCCTCACCACAGAACAAGCGTGAAGTCCAACGTCTCACCGGGAGAGTCGCAGCCTTGAACCGATTCATCTCACGGTC